CGCCAAGTAAAGAAGAAATAATTTATAACAAAGTAATATGTGATAATGATTGCTAATTAAGTAATTTTTTTATTGAGAATTTTAGGTTCAGAAGGGTGAAATTTTAATGAGAAATGAAAGGAGTGAAAAGATGAGAAGAAAGAGTTAATAAGTAAGAGAGAAGGATTAAAGAATGAAGAGAGAATAAGGAAAGAAGAATAAACAAAACAAGGGAGGAGATTCGGGAAAGAAAGGTAAAGATTAGGAAAATATTTTTAAGAAAGAAAAAACAAAAAAAGAAAACCTATAGAACGAAGTAGAAGATTGAACTGAAAAGCAAAACATACAATATGTCACAGTGTTATCGAGTGGGACAATTTATCATTGGAAAAAAACTTGGAGAGGGGATGTGTGGAAAGGTATATCTTGCATTTCATGAAAAAACAGGAGTTAAAGTAGCTATTAAAATAGTAGATAAAACAAAATTAATGAGAAAGCCAGAAATGAAAAGGAAAGTTTGAGAATTTTTTTGATTAAATTAATTGAAACAAAAAACACCAAAAGATTTATGAATTAAGAAGAAATTAATCATGAATAATAAAAGGTGAAGAAATAAGAATTTTAGGAGAGAAATAGAAAATTAATGAAGATAGGTAGAGCGAGAAATAGCATTTTTAAAAATAATAAATCATAGAAATGTTATGCAATTATATACTGTATATGAAACAACACGATACCTTTTCTTAGTAATGGAATTACTTGAAGGAGGAGAATTATTTGATTATATAAGTTCAAAAGGGAAATTAGAAATAGAAGAGGTATTAGTATATTTCCAACAATTAATATTTGCAGTAGAACATTTTCATTCAAGACATATATGGTTTGTTAATTAAAAGAAAAAAAGGAATAATAATAATAAAAATAGTCATCATGATTTAAAGCCAGAGAATTTACTTTTAACAAAAGATCTTCAAACGATTAAAGTATGTGATTTTGGAATGTCATCATATTGTGGAAATAATAAACTTCGAGAATATTGTGGAAGTCCACATTATACAGCACCAGAAGTATGTAAGAAAGAAGCATATGATGGATTAATTGCAGACATCTGGTCATGTGGAGTAATTCTTTATGTAATGGCATTTGGATTAATGCCATTTGATGGAGATACATTAGAAGAATTAATAGAGAAAGTAAAAGTAGGGAAATTTGTATATCCAGAAGATATTGAAGTTCCAGAAGAAGTTAAAGATTTGATAAATCGAATGCTTATAATTAATCCGAAAGAAAGAATTACAATAAAAGAAATTAAAGAACATAAATTCTTTCAAAGTAATAATCCTATTATAGAGAATGTCCCATCAGTAATTGAAGAGGCAGGAGAGCCTATTAAAAATATTGATAGTAATATTATGGCAATTCTATGTTATTTATTAAATAATGTACATATTACAGAAATAAGAGAAAATTTATTTGATCCAGAACCAAATACTATTCGAGCATTTTATCGATTATTAGAACAACATCGTAAAAATGCACAAGGAGATCCATTTGCATTTTCAAGAAATAGTCCAGGACCACAAAGTCTTAAAAATACGATTTTTGCTATTCCAGGAACATCTCCTAGTGATGTTGCATTTTCACCAGCATTTAATGACTTAGCTAATAGAATTAAAGTTGAAATTCCACATGTTAAAACACCAAAACCAGCACCATCACCAATGATGATTAATCAAGAAGTAAATAATAGTATAAGTATGGGACAATCTCCAATAATGTTTAGTGTACCAAGAGAAGCTGAATGGGGATTTGTAGCAGCAAATAATGTTTCAACAACGGAAATAATAGAATTAGATTGTAGTGTTCAAACAGCAAGAAATAAAGTTGAAAAAGCATTTAATGAACTAGGTATTAAATGGAAAAAAGAAGGAGAAGTTTATGAATGTGATTATAAGTATTTAGAAGAAGAAGATGTTAATGTGATGTTTGAAGTTAGTATTGAAGAAGGAGAAATTAATGAAATATCAGCAGGATTTGGAATTGTTACAACAATTAGATTTGTCTATACACAAGGGGATATTGTTTCATTTAGTGATGTCTATAACTTAATAACAAAGTTAGTGACAGACGTAGATTATTAAGAGGTTAAAGACCAATACACTAAGGCTCAAAAGAAGTATTTTAAATTATCAATTCTTCATTTTATTATAAAATAATTATTTTTTATAAAGAATAAATAAAATAAAACTATAAAATAATAAAGAATAATTGTTGAATAATGTCAAAACAAAAGCAAATTACAGAAAAAGGTATTCCTAAAGGAACTACACAAGTCAGTTTATCAGGATTTTCATTTTTATTTGCAGAATATGTTAGAAGAGAATTTCGAAAAGATAATAAACAAACAACAACAGAGTTTCATGAAAAATTATTTGATTTAGGATTTAATATTGGAATGAGGATGTTAGAAGTTATTAATATTAGGGAAAGAGAAAATGAACGAGATATAAATATGGATAATGTTGTTGGATTTATTGCAAAAGATATGTGGAGAGTTATGTTTGGATATGGTGTTGATGTAGGACGAGTAAAAGGAAAAACAAATGAATGTTTGTTAAGAAATTTTATTATCAAATTGAAGGAGAAACAAAGGAATTATTCAAATTAGTTTTGATTACTGACAAAAATTTAATTATCACTGAATTTATGAGTTATGGGAATGAAAAGAACATTTATTGTGTTGCCTATGTTGCTGGAATGGCACAAGCATGTATTGATGGTGCAGATTTTGTTTGTTTATTTTATATAACAATAAGAATGTTAAAAACTAAATAAATATAGAAAGGAAATGTAAATTATGGAGAGGATGAAGATGGACCATATCTTCACATTATATTTCAACAATAATTGAGACTGATTTTCATTTTTCAACAACTATACTTTTATTCAAAACATTCATATTTTGAATTTCAACATCTTTTTAATTTAACTTTTCTTCTTTAAATAGAGAAAAGCTCTAAAAACAATAGCATTAAATGACATAAACTATGTTTATTGAAAATACAAACATGTTTTTAATAAGAAGAAATACAAAAATGTTTCCATTTAAAGAAAATGATATAAAACTTATCACACTGAAGAATCTAATGAATAGTCTCAAAAAATAAAATGTAAGAGAATGTTAATGTCTGTTCTACATTCATCAAAAGAGAAAAAACATCTGAAATATTGAAGAACAACTGTAGTAATTCACACTCAACAATATGAATGATATTATTAAAGTAGTGTTTTCTCATAATTTCTTAATTACAGCAGACAGAAACGAAAATAGAACATTTTTGAAAGTAAAGTTAACTAGTATTGATGGGGAAGAAATATTAATAAGAAAGTTAGTGAAGAATCAGTCAAAAGAAATATGAGTGATGACAGAAAATGTGTTAGGAATGATAGAAAAATAGTATAGCATCAATTAGAAAAGAAATAAAAGAAGAGGGGTGTTTCAATTAATAGAAGAAGTAATGTTAGAATAGGGGAGACTAATTTTTTGTATTGAAAAGATTAATATGATAAATGGTAGAGTTAGAGAAGTTATTACTGAGAAAATGGATGAAATGAAAAGTAATAATATTGAAAGAGTAGAATTAGTTTCAATTCTTTATTGGTATAACAAGTTTTGTGTTGATATTTGAAAAGAAGATTTTTCTATTGTCAAACTTCAAAATTATTGGTATTTTCTGATTTGGGTATATTTTTAATATATATTTCACTGATTACTGAAATTTAAAACAATGTTTAGAACTTTTATTTCTACACTTTAATAAATAATGGGGGTGTTTGTTTTAACACATAGATTTGCTTTTGAATGAATGAAAATGAAATGTGTTGAATAATATGTATTATCAAAAGGTAGTGAAATTGTATTGAACCAAAAAAATTCACGAATTGAATATAGGCATAAATTGAATTATGATAATAAAATTTAAAAGGTTTACCTAATAGAATTTATAATACAATATTTGTATATTGAAATTAAACATGGTATGTATAATTCAATCACTAAAAATCAATTTAAATTTGAAATAATAATGACAATGTTGGTGATTATAAAATGATTAAATACACATATAAACATGTGTATTTCATATGTCAATGTTCTTTGTTTCATTTATAGTTCAATTACAAACATCTGTCATTCAGAGCTTCTTTTGATGATAATTTTTCTTCGTAAATTAGAGTATCAATTTATTTGTGGTTTTGTTTATTTGATAATAACTGTTTTTTTTGTTTCATTAACAACATTTTTCATTTAATTGTTGTATAATTGTTTTATTCTAGTTTTACTTTAGAACTTTTTCAAGTATTAATAGTATGTTTAATATCAATATTGTGTTTATATAATAATCAAAAGACTTTATTGTTTGTGTCATTGTACTTTTGTAATTTAATTATTTCTTAGTATTTCTTCAAATAATTTACTTGATATTGCTCATTTTATTATTGTTTTTATTTAATAGTATGGATATTATATTATTTGTAAAAAGTAATTCAATTCTTACATCATTAGTTCTTGTTAATGAATATTTTATCATTCTTTTTATATTAAAATTATTTTTGTTTATTATACAATGGCTATTGTTTCTTTTTGATTTGTTTATTCTTCTATAGTCATTAAATTTTAGACTCAGTCATGTATTGAACAATTGGGTTTTCATCGTTATTTAAATATTTTTTTTGTTTTTAGTTATTTTGTTACATTAGTTTGATATTTATATTATTATTGAAAAGTTATTTTTATTGATAATAATCACTTTTATAACCGTTTTAATTCTGATATTAATATAATGTTTTTGATTCATACATTTATTTTATCATTTTATTTGGTATTTTGTTCTTTCTTTTATATTTTTTATTTTTAGTTAATGTGATTTTACTGAAATATATCTTTTAATTTATTTACTTTCATTCCATCTTTCCATGTATCTTTGGTTCATTTGTACTGTCTCTCTTTGTTTAAATGTGTGTTCATATACCATGTTTGTTATATTTTATTTTTAATAATTTAATGCTGTGTTTATCATCGATTCTCTCATCAAATGAAGTGAATAAAATTATATTCTTACAGGCATCAATATCAGTTTTATTTTCATCATTAATTTTAAATTTTAAAAATTTATCTTTATTATTCAATTTGATAATATTTTATATTCAACAATTCATTTTAATAGATTTTGAAATTATTTAACTATTTAAACAAACATATTTTGAACT